CTAGGAACGAAAAAATGCGCGCTTGGATGGGTCAACCCCTAAACAGGCGACATTCTAATAAAGGCAACCAAGACCATGTAAACAAAAATGTTCCCTAAAACAGAAAGTTCATTACTCGCCAGTCAGGATCAGGTTATACCAACCAAAATTTACCTGAAATATATCATCAAGACCCTCAGGTCCAAACTGAGAAATACCGATATCGATTTCAAGCCCAAGGAACCATCCAACATCTCACTGAGGGCTGTCAGGCATTTGCTGCAAGTGAATATAAAGAACGGCGTAGCTCAGTAGGAGATACCTTTCATCAAGAGATAGCTATCAAACTGGGACTTCTCCAAACAAACCATCTCCAATATGATCAATACTTTCTTGAGAGTATGCTTGAAAATGACCAGTACAAGCTATACTGAGACCGCACTTTGCTCAGAGATCAAATAGTGCTACGTAGTAGATCTCAACATTGGCAAGTCTTTTTTCAGTTGCATCCGTAATTGTCCAGGCTTCAACTCCATATAAAGTATTGATTATGATATTATTGATATTATGATTATTGTTGAGTAATGTAAATCCGTAAAAAAAAAGTGATGTAGAAGACATTATAAAACACGTAGCCAAAATTAAATGGAGATGGGCAGGACACGTAGCTAGAATGAAGGATAATAGGTGGACCAAAAAAATCTTGGAGTGAACACCGAGAGCGGATAGACGAAAACCGGGAAGACCACCCGCAAGATGGATTGAAGACATAAAGAGGATTTGTACCAACTGGATTGCAGCAGCGCAGGATAAGATCCAAATGGAGGTTTTTCGAGGAGGCCTATATTCAGCAGTGGGCGACTATGGTCTGATGATGATGATGATCTCAAAACTCTAGTTTGAATTTTGATTCTCAGTTTTCTATTGCATAGTACTGCTTTCATCTCGTTGAACCCGCTTCTGGTTATCTCTATCTGGCTATGTCACATTGTACATTTTGCTCAAATCGTAAGTAATTGTATAAGGGTTTTTCTCTGAACCTTTTCCTTTAACGGAGATTGTTTCGTTTTAAATTCTGATAAACTGTGTTGCAAGATTCTGATAAACTGAAAAATTCTTATTATTGTAAGGGAATCTTAAGATTTAAGCTCAACATATTCTATACAGTTTTTATTATTCAAAAACAGTGTTAGTGTGCAAAGTATAAAAAATTTACATATGTTTACTTAAAATGCAAATTAAAAAATTTTGCAATGTCAGCTGGTATTTATTGTCACTTCTTTAAAGCTTTAGGCGGAAATTACTCGTGTTTACTTTATCGTAAAGAAATAAAAAAATGATAATAAGCATATACACATTTTTTACATACCTAAATAAACAATGTACATGTCCCGATTAATAAAAATCCAGAAAAAATAAAATAACAATTCTTTGAAGACATAGAGCAGGGGTGCTCAAACTTGAACTGCTGGCGATCTACCTCAATATTTTTAGACTACTTACGATCGACTCTGAGAGACTGCAAGTGTGTGTGATGCAGGATTGTCGTGCATACACGATCCTACCTACCTAGGTAGGGCGTACCGTAGCATATATAGATATTAGCTTTATGCACAATATAGGTACATTATTTTAGTCAAGGTTTGGGTTAGGTTTAGTTAGGTTCTTCTCTACAATATCAATGAAAAAACTCATAGTTATTCAAAATTGCGAGTTTATTTGTTGTTACAAAACAAAAAAGTTACATATGGTGTTAAACTTAACTAAGGAGTGGCTTTGGATGTTGAAGCGTGGCACTGCATGTCCTCAGCATACTTTTCATAAGATGGTACGTAACCACTGAGTGCTAATCGCAAGCATGATGTCATATGATCGTCAGTTAATCGATTGCGATATTTTGACTTAATTATCTTCATTTCAGAAAATGCAGACTCGCACAAGTAAATTGACCCAAAAAATGCCGTCAGTTGAAGGGCGATTTGCCTTACATTCGGATATTTATCTTCAGATATAAAACGCCAGAAATTTGTATCAGATACTGTAGCTTTGAGATGTATATCTGATATAATCTGCACCAACTCATTTTCAACAGAACATGAGTTCATATTAAACTGACTTGCTATTTCAGTAGCTAATTCCTCAATGTTTTTGCATGAAAAAGAATAACTCATAAATGATAACTGATTCCAATTTACTGCAATCATAAAAACGCATTTCGAATTGTCCCAAAATATTTGATAATTCAGCCGCATACGTATCATAATTCAACTGAGGAATCCTTGCTTTCAAAGACGGAAAATGTTTCAGATCCTTTCTTTTCAGTTGATCTATCATAAGTTGCAATTTACTTTTGAATGCGTTTGCTGCGCTAATCATCTCAATAATAGTTTTTCCTTTACCTTGAAACTCCAAGTTAACGGTGTTTGAGTGAATTGTGATGTCAGTCAAAAATGCCAAATCATTTAGCCATTTTTCGTTTTTTCAAAATCTGAGTGTCATCACCTCTTTCGTCTAGAAAAGCTGTTATTTCGGGCAATAATTCTTGAAACCTTTCTAAGAATTTTCCGCGACTCAACCACCTGACGTCCTTGTGAAGAACTAAATCAGTGTGTTCAGCTGACTCCCTATCTTCCAACTGCAACTGAAAGAGCCGCCGTTGCAAGCTACGTGCACGGATGGAATTCATAATTTTTGTTGCAATGCCCATAATTTCCTCCGTGTTTAAAACTTTTGAACACAAAACTTGTTGATATGTAATGCAATGGAATGAAAAAAAATGAAGGGAATTCTTCATTAGCTCGACACAATGCCACAAAACCGTTTTTGTTTCCAGTCATTGCTGGTGTTCCATCGGTTGTAATGCACATTAATTTATATATTGGTAGCTCGTAGTTTTTTTTAAATTTAAGAAAACGTCATATATATCTTCGCCACGGGTCTTCCCCTTCAGAGGAATGATTGTCAAACATTCTTCCTTAGCCAACATGTCATTGAATACCATCCGAATAAAAATACACAGCTGGGCAGTGTCTGTCATATCGATGAATTCGTCGAACTGTAAAGAAAAGTATATACATTCCATGATATCATGTTTTAGTTTATCTGCGATGTCTTGACTCATGACTTCAATACGCCTTGTGACAGTCGGACGAGATAACTGAAGTTCTCTAATAGCAGACATGATTTCTGTTTTATTTTTAAAATATCCAAATAAAGTCTCACCCGCTTCAATAAATGCTTCTTTCACTACCGATCCATCTTCAAATGGTTTCTTATGTTTCGCCAAAATATGAGTTATTTTAAATGACGCGATCGTAGCAGCTTTTGATTGTTTGGCTGGTCTTGTGAACATGGATTGTTCTTTTTTCAAACAAGATATCAAATCACTTACTTTTCGTTTTCTTAATTTACCCTGTGGCGGAAAATCATTTTCATAGTTTTTATGAACCGTTTTATGATGCCTCTCTAAGTTACCACGCTTAGGTATTGCAACTGACGCACGACAAATAACACAAATGCACTTATCCTTCACCATAGAAAAGAAAAATTCTTCCTTCCAATCCTTATTAAAATGATACGTTTTAGATTTCTTCACTGCACTCATTTTCCACTATTTAATAATAAACTTTGTATCGACGTAGGATCGCTATCAAGTTACAATTCAGAATAACTCCAATTCCTGCAGGCGCAACATTTATATCGTAGTGAACGAAAGTCTCGAATGATTCCGTCAAACGCGCCGCCCGAAACTAGACTGTACTGTCTCTCGTCTAAAAACAACACGGCTTTTTTTGTTGTGCCGCGCGTTCCTTTGATAAAGCCACCTTTTGCCGCAAGCAGTGTTATTTTATTACATAATACATTTTTGTATTTAATAGAATATCATCCCAAATTTGATTAATAATTATAATAAATATTGAAATAATAAAATAATTAGTTAATATATGTAAATATAAAATATGCTGTGTGGACAGTATTTTGTTGTCCCCACTTCTTTGAATTGCAATGATGCTTAGTCAAGCATTCTATGTATTTGTATAGTTCAGTATTAATAAAACGTTTAACTCTGCTTACAGTAGTTTAGTTACCTACCTACTTATTAAATTTTTTTTTCTTCTCGAGATCTACCCAAAAAGCACTCGCGATCGATCAGTCGATCGCGATCGACCGTTTGAGCACCCATAGCATAGAGCAAGCCTACAGAAGATGTTGCAGAAATGATTGTGCTACGTGACATGAACGCAAGAATAGAATAAAAGCGAGTTTTCGTCACCCCTATAGGAAGCTATAGTTCGCATTATGCTATTTGTTTGGGAAAGTATGTAATATTTATTATCATATTTTACATTTGATATTTTTCTTATACTGTACTATAATGCGATCTAATTTAATTGTATATTCTAACGGCTTTGGCTTAAACACATTTAGTCTGTTCAGACAATTTGACTTTCTTTTGTTATTTTTGAAAAGTATTTCAAAGCGCCCTACAATAGATTCGGTGCGGTTGGAAGGTTCTTTCTGACCATCTAAAAGACACTTTCACTTCATTACCGAAACAGCGAAGTACGTCATAGAAATGACGGTCCCCAATAGGAAGGCGATCAGTAGGACGAAAACGAAAACGATGGAACAACTTGCTGGAGGCAAATTGAAAATAGACAGTCATGTCTAAATAAACAAAATCAGAAGAAGAATAAAGTAAATTTAAAATAATTATTATAATTAATTATTATTTATTATAATCAGTAAATTTACTCAGCATCCATTGAAATACGACTAAAGAAGATCCTACTTAAAAGCAAAACTTTTTAGGGATTTTTCAGTAAAATCCTCTACCATTGAATTTAATCGCACAGTTTTAATTAGGCCAACCTGTATAGTCCTAGACTATGTAATTTCTGGTATCTCTAGTTTAGTGTGATATTCAAGGTATGTTTGCTATAAATGAACTTTTTATCTATATTCGTTTGAATGTATTAAACACTTGAGCATAAAGTTTGGACTGGCTCTAGCAACTAAATATGAAGATATTTTTGTTAATATTTATATTTTGGTCAATTCAAAAATTTGGTTTAAGTTACAATATTTTGGGTGTTTTTGCTTTTTGTCAGTATAGTCACTTTTCACTGGGATTTCAATTGTTAAAATCGTTGGCAGATAGGGGCCACAATGTTACTATGATCAGTTGTTTTCCCCAACAAAAACCTATTAAAAACTATGTGGATATATCAGTAAAGGTAGGAAATAATCAGGATCAAGTACTAGGTAAGTACGTATATGCAGTTTCTCTATGGTGCAGTTCTCAATCATTTTATGTTTTCTGTATTATTTTTAATAAACGTTGTGTTATTAAATGCCAAATATAAAACGGCAAACAAAACATAAACTTAAAAACATAAAAACTTTTTTGCTCTTCAAGTTACCGGTGATAGTGATAAAAAATATTAAAGATGCATTATTTTAACAAAAAAGAAGTATATTTTTCACATACAGAAGTATGTAACAGGTTTCGAGATAATATCAGTTTACAAATCAACTACATAATTCATATTTAACCCAATTACTCCAGGTAACGAAAGAAAATTAAACAAAAACATCAATACTTCTGAATTTTGATATAAAATGCCTTTAATAAAGTTAATAGTTAATGAAATATTAAATAAAATAAATATATCAGCAGGATATTGCAATAGGATTTGAGAAAATAACAGAATGGTTTTATTTTACATAAAACATTTTACGTTTTATATTAAATTAAACTCATAACCAAAACATTTTATTTGCAAATCAAATTAAGAAATAGTTAAACTAAATAATATTAAACTTTTTGTCAAAGTAAGTGTTTGATGTCCACCATTCAATGTCGATTCATATGTATTGACATTATATGAAATAGCATCATTAGTTCTAAAGAAACTGTTGCAGTATTTATTATAAGTATTATAAGTATATTTTATAGTATAAGGCGGAACTATTTACAATAGATCGATACAAGTCTTAGCATATGCTGACGACATTGACATAATAGGGCGTAGTAAGCGAGATATTGAGCAATATCTCCTAGAATCGGAAACAGCGGCGAAACAGGTCGATCTAGATATCAACGAAGACAAAACCAAGTACATGTTGGTTACAAAGGATCTGATAGCAAATGAGGAATGAGAAACAGTCTTTGGAAGTCATACCTTTGGACATGTTGACAACTTCACATACTTTGGGTCGCTATTGACTGCTACCAATAAAACAAGCGAAGAAATCAAAAGACGAATAAATCTTACAAATAGCGCATACTATGGACTCCAAAAGCATTTCCACTTAAGAAACATTCAAAGAATAACTAAAATTATTAAATACAACACATTGCTGAGGCCAGTCATCACATATGGAGCAGAAACATAGACTCTAACGCAGAAAAAATGAAAGACTTTTGGGAATATTTGAACATAAAATACGTAAAATATTTGGAGCTATAAACAACCAAGGGCAGTGACACAGAAAATATAATTTTGAATTGTATCAGCTCTTTGATGAGCCAGATGTTATAACGTTCATTAAAACACGGCGACTTAGATCGGCTGGACACATAATACGAATGCCAGAAAATACGATTGCTAAAAAGCTAACCAGAGGAACACCTGTAGGAAGAAGAAGCAAAGGCCGACCGCGAATTAGGTGGTTAGATGGAGTTGAAACCGACTTACGGATATTAAAAATCAGAAAATGGCAACATGTTGCCAGAAACCGATCAGAATGGCGACGAATCTTGGAGCAGGCCAAGATCCACAAAGGATTATTGAGAAAAAGATGATAATGATTATAAGTATATTCTTAAGAACTCTCTTGGGATTTTTTATGAATTAAATAATTATATTAATATCTTACCACATGACCAAGGAATATGACTACCACGAACAATCCAACCTTCAGGAAAGTTGTATTTAAGTATATTCTCACTGCCCGTGGTCGGGTAGTCATTTTTCGTCGTCAAATGAACTAAATATTCCCGTTTATGTTTTGTTTATACTAAGTTGCGTGAATTATTTTAAATATAATTAGATCACTTTCACTGGAGCCATTGTCAGGGACAGTTGGTTCAAGTTTTACGTAAAATTTGTAATGTTTTCTCGTTTTGCGTCCTTTCTTTATGAAAAATATGTAGTGTATAGTAGCAGTTCAACGTATAGTTACAGTTTAAGTGAGGTTTGAAGATTTGGTCATGGAAAACAGACGTATTTCGCTGATTCGGAAAAAAACCGGAAAATTTGTTGAAAATAGTGAATTACACTTTAAGCAATGTGTCAATGTTGCAATAGTAATCACTGTTTCTATATTTCTAAGTATCTAAGAGATTTGTGTCGCCTACAACAACTTTGAAGGATAACATAACATAATAATAAATGATACTGGGTATGTGTCGTTTCAACTGACAAGTACCACGTGCTAATATTCGAGCAGGGAGACATGTAGTTCCTAAAGTAATTTTAAAAATATATCCATTGTCATCGACCTGGAGTCAAAACATTGTTAAATGTAAAATTTGGAATACTGTAAATCTATACATGGAGGTCTTATAGACAACTTTACTGTTAGCAACAAATACACAGGGCACTGAGAATGATCTGTTCAGATTCAAAAAGGTTCTGCCAGAATTTAAATGTTGACGACACTTTTATAAAGTTTTAAATATTTGTTTGTTTTTATACCACAACACACATGTGTGAAGTGTTTTAAACGTCTGTGTTTTTTTTGTACATTTTAGCTAAATTGAGTTTGAATCCAGATACTTTCTTTGTATTGTAGCCCTACAGTGTTGAGACTCAACATTGGGAAAAGATTTTATGTGATTTCTCACAGTTACTTTTATTTCTTCATTGAGGCGTCTTGAACTTTGGGCACTTTTGCCCCTACCATCTGGCTTGGGGGTATTGGTGACCTCATCTTTGATCTTATGAACCGTATAGACAGGTTTTTGTGAGATGCTTAGGGTTCCTAAGTAAAATTTTTTGCAGACTTGTACCTTTTGGTTACAACATTAAAGAAGTTACCTAAAAGTAAATTTTTTGTATAATTCTCTGTTCCTATCTTTAAGTCTTTCTGTGTGATGTTTTGTGGTTGTACCCAAGATATATTGATGTTTTCTTATTGATTATACCTTAGATTATAATTTTTTTTTTCTATTTTTTTATTTCTTATTTACATAGTTATTTGTTTTATATTGTTTATCTTAATTTTATTTTTCATCTACTTATTTTTTGTACTTATTTTTGTACTTGATATTATTGTATCACCTACTGATTGTATACTAATTAAAAATGTATCTTGAATTTTACCCTAGAAATGGGAAACTGTTGGGTAATAAAGCTAGTATTTAGTTATTTATTTATTGCATTGTCTTCCAGTTTTATTATCTAATAATAATTGTTCATCCATAGAACTTCATAGCTTTGTATATTACTGAATTCCGAGTGATAGTCGCGCTAAAAGTTAGCATTTTTGGATATATTTAAATGTGTTTACCATTATTTTTCATCTATAAATATTCCATGCCTTTAAACATGTGCAATTGTTAAAATATATTAGAGATAAAACTAAAAATTGTTACCACTGTTTAGTAATTACCGCTTAGCATAGGAATGCCAACGGAAATATAAAATGGAATATATTAGTGACCTAGGCAATAAATGGCTCAATTATAATATTTTGCCAAATTTTAATTTTTTTTTTGTTATTTGCAGTTACTTGTGACCTTGTAATTAGTATTTATATATTGAGAATAATGACAGATTTTACCTTATATTAGTAAAATTTTCGTTTCGTTTTTAAAGCGCGTCACTCAATTCTTAAAATAAGTAAATAAGCAGATAAACAATAATTAAAATAATATATACACCTCAACACTATCTTTAGACGTAAATTTCTAATATAAGTGACGGTATCATTGCAAATAAAAAATATAAACCATAGAGAAATTCAAGGTTAAGTCAAATGAAACCTTATAACTCCTACCATCAAGATAATTTCTTCAACATAATATCTCTCAATAACTATCTTGATATTTTAATATCACTATATCTACTATATTAATATTTCGAACTATCTCGATATCAACCCTTATCCGGGCAACATATTTTACTTACGTAAACGTGCAACTCGTGTCCATTGGGCCCACCACTGTTCTTGAATGTACGATTCATATTTACTACTATAGTATGCGGTTTACCTCAAGGGTGGGATCTACCCGAAGAATTTGCACCAAATAATAAAATGCAATAAAACTTTTGTAGAAAAAATATTTATTAACAGGTAATAAACATTTGGAGCCAAATAAAGACTTAATTATAAATAAATAAAAACTTTCGTAAATCTACCAGGCCATTTTATTTAAAAAGAGGGGTTTATGTTTTCGCATACCCTGGAAAAAGATTACGGTGTTGTTGCCTTTCATTATTATGTGAAAACCCTTCTTATATATAGTATAGTAGAATAGAATAGAATAGAATATAGTAATTAGCAGCTCATGTATAAAGTACCGCTACAAACAATCTTTACACAATGAATAAAACGCATAAGTCAAAAGAATATTATTATTTTACTATTTACTTACAAATTAATACTTTGTCATATTAACTTACTATTTTAGTTAGGACTGAGCTACAAGATTAGCTTATTCCCAACTAAAATAGCAAATATATGCGACAAATTAAATTATTATTAAGTCTTAGGTAAAAATAACCTTACTAGCATCACCAAACAAAATGCACATTCTTCAGGTTTACATGCCAACCTCAGACGCGTAAGACAATGATGTGGAAGACGTAAACTCCTATATTGAAGACACAATAAGAAATATTCCATCTAAAGAACCACTCATAATCATGAACGATTTTAATGCTAAGGTAGGGGAAACAAGAAATGATAATATCCAAAATGTAGGAAACTACGGGTTAGCTAAGATGAAAGAACCAAGAAACATCTGTAGAAAGAACCAGAACCGAAAATATGATCATCAAAAGAAAACACTGGATGACAAACAGAACGCTGCAACTTCTCGAAGAGCGAAGGAGAATCAAATCTCTCATATATCAAAATGACAGCAACAAAAACGAATTAGCAAGGTTAAATAGAGAAATTAAAAGAGCATGTAGGGATGATAAAAATAAACAAATAAATAAAGAATGCGAAGAACTAGATAGACATGCAAACAGGTATGAATCCCATGATCTGTATAACAAAGTCCGATATCTATCCAGGAATTTAAACCAATCAGACAAACAAAAATGAATCAAAACCAACATATTATAAATGACGAGAAATGGATTGCGAAGGTATGAAGAAAATATTGTCAAAGTCTATATGCAGATAATCCCCAGAATGAAAATCACGATGAGTTCACTGCAGAGAGAGAACCAAACATTATAAAGTCAAAGGTAGAAAAAGCAATCAATAAGTTGAAAAATAAAAAATCTCCTGGCGCAAATGAGATCACCGCAGAAGTTTTAAAAGAGACTGGAGATGTTAAAGTAAATGTTATGGATATGATCTGCAAAAAGATTTGGGAAACCGGAGAGTGGCCCAACAACTGGACATCATCCACTTTCATCCCTATATTCAAAAAAGTAACTCCGCTAGATTGCAGCAACTACAGAACGGTAACCCTAATATCCCATGCAAGCAAGGTTCTACTTCATGTAATACATGAAAGATTAAAAGCTTTTCTATTGCCTGAGATATCAGAAGAACAAGCGGGATTTATTCCAGGAAAAGGCACAAGAGAACACATCCTTAATGTCAGACAGCTAATCGAAAAAACACGTGAATTCAATACTACTATGCTTATGTTTGAGTGTCGATGGCGAAAGGCTGAACCACCTACGATTTGCAGATGACATAGTTCTAATAACCGACGACTTAAAGGAGGCCAACGAAATGCTACAAGATTTACAACGAGTCTCCCAAAAAGTAGGGCTGGAAATAAACTTTGCGAAAACTAAAATGATGACCAACTTAGTACCTAGTGGACCATTGAAACTAGAAAACTGGCATATTAAAACGGTTGACAAATACATATATCTGGGCCACGAAATACAAATAAGTAGAGATAACCAAACATGCGAATTATCTAGAAGAATAGCTTTAGGATGGGCAGCCTATGGCAAGCTAAAAGACGTGTTTAAGGAAAACATCCCAATAAAGCTAAAGAGAAAAGCATTTAACCAGTGCGTACTTCCGGTGCTCACTTATGGAGCTGAAACACTGACATTGACTAAAGCATCAATAAAAAAGTGACAAGTAGCACAACGAAAAATGGAAAGATCTATGCTTGGCGTAACTTTGAGAGACCGAATACGAAATGATGAGATACGGCGAAGAACTGGAGTGGAAGACGTCATAACACGGATTACGAAGTTGAAGTGGAAATGGTCAGGACACGTCGCAAGACAGAGAGACAACAGATGAACAAAGAAGATTTTAGAATGGCGGCCAAGGGCAGACAAGCGAAATCGTGGAAGACCACCTACCAGATGGACGGACGACATTAAAAGAATAGTGATAAACTGGATCGCAGCTGCACAGGACAGAGAAGAGTGGAGACATCTTGAGGAGGCCTATGTTCGACAGTGGACAAATTTGGCTGTGTGATGATGCTTATGTGCTTTGTGGATTACACAAGGGCCTTCGATAAAGTCAAATGGCAGCAGCTATGGTTCATACTAGTGGAAATGCGAACACCCCACCACTTAATTCAACTAATTAGAAGTCTATATGAAAATAATAAGTGCACAGTAAAAATAAACAACACCCATTCCGATCATTCCAGAACAGAGGCACATGTCTTCAACACATTAAAGAAATTGGGGGCTTTGAAGTAGTAGTATACTTTCATATACCTGAAATCCCTAATAACAAATGACGGAGGGTGTGAAAGAGAAATACGTAGAAGGTTGACTATTGCTAGAACAGCTATGATAAAACTGATAGCATTTTGGACACATTGCTAGAAGAACAGGCACGATGGAAAAACTGATAGTCGAAGGTAGAGTTGATGGAAAGACACATAGAGGAAGATCTCCAAGCCGTTGGGTACATCAAACAAAAATATTGATTAACCAAGGGTTACATTAAGCTGGACAGCTTAATGCCGAATAACTAGCCCAGGACTGAGGAGGATGGAGGGAAATCGAGAAAAAACTGTGAAGGCTTGATGGTGTCACCACATCCTAAAAGGGATTAGGACTGAGGAGGAGGATTATTTAAAAAAAAAACAATAAAAATAAAAAAAACTATAGATTAGACATTTATTTTTCTTTATTGCAATACTTATAAAGTTTTTAAATTGTACAGTGATCGTTACACACAATCCTACCGCATATTTTACAAATTTTGTTTGCTCTCCTTTATGTTGGGTGACACGTGGCACCTTTTCCTTGTTAAAACTGGAGGTTTTTCTAGTTTTTTGTTTTTTATTCTGTGGATATACTTTCTGTAAGCATTTTTCAATACACTGTTTTGTTTTCCATTGTAATCCCCTTTATTTTCTTTTCAAAATTTTAAACAACACTAGTTGTTCTGCTGTCGTTATAAGAAACAACTTCGCTTTTTATTTTTGTTTTCGTTCTATTTTGGATGTAAATTTGTCCAAGTAATAAATGAAGATCATCGCCACGTCTTAAATATTCATAAAAAATGCAAAAGGCCAACGTTTAGTTCGTATTTTGCACATATATCTATAAACCATTTGCTCTAGCGTATCGACATCACATTGTGTACTATTATAATAGAGTAGCCTATCTGGTTTTTTGTCAACATTATCTGCACTGGGACACTTTTTTGTTTGTTCGGAACGTAAGAAATAAGAGATACTTTTGAAGTAAATCCAATAATTGAAGCTCTAAACGGTCTTGATTGGTAGAAATTCCCTAGAAACAGATCTCTTATTTTTTTTACTGTACCCACAAGAGTTAGTGAATTTTCCAGTTATTCATGTGCAAGAGCAAGATCACTGAAATAGTTATGGCAAGTTGCATTCCTTTTGGAATTATAATAAGTCTCAACAAGTTGCTTTACAACTTGAGATGCAAGACCTTTGGCTACTGTATTTCCAATTTTTCCTGTAGATGGTATTCTTCTTCTTCTTTTGGCATCATAACCCTGGATAGGTCTTTGCCTGTCTGGGTATGTCCTTCCATTCAGATCTCTCTTGTGCCCTTCTTCTCCATTGTCTTATGTTCATTGTTTTCAGGTCGTCTTCCACCTGTCATTTTGGTTCTTTTCCTGTAGATGGTATTCCACCTAAAAATATTACTTGGAAACATATTACCCTATGTTTCGGAGATATTACATATTAACCTATGTTTTCGAGTCACAGTCCCACCATATTTTCATGCCATACTTATCTGATTAAGTTTATAATAATCTTATATAATATATCTTATATACTTATCTGGCTTTAAAGGCATATACTGCGTGAAAGGACACCTACATCGATACGGAACAAGTTACACATCTACCGTTGTTTTTTCCTGGTAAATAGTATTTCTGAAAGTTTTGGTTGATTTGATTCCACACACCGCTTATTGCTGCTAATTTGTCGTTCCTTCTTCGTTCAGACCTCGTGTTCTTATCGTCAAATCGAACAAATTTTTGAATCGTTTTAACCCCATGGTAGCTTTAAATATAGTAGGTTCATAAAACTTACTCCAAAGTATATGGATGTTGACACTCAGGTGCTCAGCAGTTAGTAGTAGTCCAATAAAGACATATAGCTCTGTAGAGTCGCGAATATTTCCAGTTCTCTATCCCAGAACTTTTTCGGCTTCTTTATTTGTACACTTCACTATTTTATTCACAATTATTTCGTCCACAAACAAACAAAAGAAATTAACAGGATCATCTACACTTTAACCAGGAGCTAACATTACTTTGTACACTTTGCTTTTTATCATGTCGCAGGATCGCATACGTCCTGTCGGTTGTGCTTAACTCTTTCAGTTAACTCCATCCTTAGTTTCAAAAATTCTATTCTATTCTAATACACATTCTTCTTCATGATTACTCAATACTACTTGCTGATCATCTTCTTCACATGCTTCCAAAAGATGATCTTCAATCTCAGAGTTACTTTCAATGCCACTTAGTTCAGGAGATTCTTCATCATCAGAATCCCATAAATTATTGGCAATATCTTGCAGTTCTGCAACTGATAATGGGTTTTTTGCACTATATACTTTCACTGTAATTCAATATAATTTTAGGAGTTGGGTTGTCAACACTAACATCGATATCAAACGCCTGATAGCACATGCATTTCTTATTTCAAAATATTTATAGGTACCTACTTAACAATATTCTTGCATTACAACAATGATAATCAGTTTTTAAAATTCATTTAGAATAGATATAACACCCACTGTGAGCATCTCTTTGATGTTCACATCAAAGAGATGTTTACATTGTTTGTTACACGTTTAGACTTTATTATTCGATTTTCGGAATCATAAAACTCGTTTAGATAATCCACAAAAACATTACCTGACTGATAGATTAACTTCTCTAACAGAGTTTTAGACTTTAGGTATAAATACAAATAGGGTCGACGGGCCCGTGTTGCCCCTTTAGGGGACAAATTCTTTCGACGCAATAATTTTAAAAATAATAATAAATATTTTGAATAGCTCATGACTATGTTGGAGGAAACATACTTTTAAACAAATTCAGTGATGCATAAAATTCAATAAATTTTTTTATCAGTTTATGACAAAAGAATTGGCGTCTCGGGTCCATTGGACTTACCTTACGCGGATCAGGATTAATATAAGTGTACTACAAAGTTCAATTTTAGGACTATTTCTATTTACGCAAATGATGTTGTCTCGATTACATCGGATTTTCTTATGACATGAATGCTTCAATCAATAGATTTGTTACCTCTTTGGAGTCCAAATATAATCGTTTACTGTAGGACTTTTACAGATGGTTCTAAATATCTATTATTGAATACCCAAAAAACTCTTCTCGTGCAGGTTCATAATAGGCAACAATGTATTAAACTAACTAATTTAAATATAAATAATAATCACATTGAAAACGTTTCTGAACGTTTTGAACAAATAATTGTAATTCTTGTTTGTGAAATCAATCAAATATATCATTTTGCTTGCATTTCAGTAATTTTAATAATCCAAACAGTTAATGATGTATGCAGTATTTTAAACTTAAAAATTGAATTCTTTTTAGGTATATTAGCGAGAGGACCTGAACTAAGAACAATGACGCATTGGGCAAAATTAAACTTCATGGCAGCATTCGGAGAAATTTATAGTTCAGTCATATTCGAAGTAAAAGAAGTTCAAGATTTACTAAACTCCGATCAAAAATTTGACGTTGTAATTCAGGAAAATTTCCTAAACGAAGCATTTGCGATATTTGCTTATAAGTTTAACTGTCCGTCGATTATGTTTGTGCCGACTCCGACAACATTTTTTAGTAATTACATAGTAGCCAACCCTTGGTCGCCGGCTTTTATCCCGAGTATTATAGGAGAATATACAGCAGAAATGAATTTTTGGCAGCGGCTTCGAAATACTTATGAACAGGTACTTGGGGAATATTTTATCCACCATAAGGAGATTCCAATCCAAAACCAAATGTTGAAAAAATACATTAAAGGTAAGATAAAACACTAGGGTGATCATCAGGAATTATATATATATATATATATATATATATATATATATATATATATATATATATATATATATATATATATATCACTCAATGGAGCGATGCATGTTAGGTATAATCAAGAGAGATCGAAAAAGAATAGAATGGATCAGACAGAAAACGAAGGTCACTGATGTAATCCACCGAATAAAATCTTTAAAATGGCAGTGGGCGGGACATTTAGCAAGAAGAACTGACAATAGATGGTCCACTAGAATTACTCTGTGGTATCCAAGAGGCATCAAGAGACCAAGAAGACATCCAAATTTAAGATGGGACTATGACATAAGGAAACAAGCCGGTACAACATGGCACAGAAAAGCGAATATTAGACAGTCGTGGGCAGACATGAAGAACGACTATGTAAGGGAGGCTGCACCATAATTGGTAGAATACGCTGATAATGATGATGATGATGATATATATTATATATATATATATATATATATATATATATATAAAAACTACAACAAATGTTGAGATTGCAACCAATCATAGAGTTCTCAAACAGTTAGAAAAGTTACTCACTGAACAAAAAATCGAAATCATTAGATCAACCTCGGAATATGATTGGCTGCAATTTTCACATATTCAATCTATTAGATATAATAAAATATTTTACTCAATTAAATCAGTCAATTTAAAAAAAAATTGACTCACTATATCAGACCTGTTGCAAATCTGTTCTTAAAACTGATCCAAAATGGATAAAAAAATGTATCTACCTCAACTATAGGAAATAAATTTAGCATCGAACAAAAGTTAGGTAAAGATTTTCAAGTAAAAACGCTTTTAGCAGACTTGGAATGCTAATCACATTTTGTACATATATATATATAATATATATATATATATATATATATATATATATATATATATATATATATCGCAAAAAGGAGTACGACCGTCTATCCAATATATAATAAGGATCACTCAGATGAGTGGTGGGTTCAATTTTCGGTCTACTAGGTGGAGAAATAAAAGACAAAGTTGATACTACTTCATCTATTTTGAAGACGTTTCGCTATCGAATTCTGATAGTATCATCAGTTCATCTAAAATTTTTACATTATGAGAACCACACATTCATGAAGAAGATGTTAAATAGTTACTTTAAAAAGACATGTAGTTACCATTGACAACTACATGTCTTTTTAAGGTAACTATTTAACATCTTCTTCATGAATGTGTGGTTCTCATAATGTAAAATTTTTAGATGAACTGATGATGCTATCAGAATTCGATAGCGAAACGTCTTCAAAATAGATTGAAGTCGTATCAACTTTGTCTTTTATTTCTCCACTAGTAGACCGATAATTGAACCCACTACTCGTCTGAGTGATCCTTATATATATATATAAATATATATATATATATATAATATATATATATATATATATATTATAATAATATATATTTATATATATATATATATATATATAATATATATATATATACCCGGTATTTACTGCTTCACCATAGCCCGATCGGACACCAGCATATTCTAGTCTAAGCCGCAGATTCATCTAGAACTTTAAACTGCTGCGTTAGACTTTTTGTTTTTTTGTACACCGAGCTGGGGACCGAACCCACATCCACTGAACCATTCGCAGTAAAGCGCATGAGAAGCTGGCCGCTCAGCCGCTTGGCTATCTGACCGACACATCGATCACATTTAGAATACTGCTAAATTATCTAATATTTTTTTTCATAACATATACTAAAACTACAAAATTTTCAATCCTTATCTTTTAGTGATGAAAGCAGACAAAGGTAATGTTACAGTCATCTTAGAAAGACCTCACTACTTACAACGTTGTTCTTCTCTCATTAAAAATGATATATCTTACATTTGACTTATATCTAATCCCACTTCTTCTTTACAAAGAAGATGCAATACATTAATCACATCCTTTTTAAGAACTACTTTAACTTGTCAGCGCATGCGTTCTGGTAAAACAGAACCTCACATTTAAACTTTTTAACAATCAAAAATTTAGTTATTGCCGACAACTTCTTCTTCTTAACATGCCATACACCAAAATGCGTAGGCGACTATCTCATTACTAGAATTCTGTTCTTGGCGGCGTGACACAGCTCACCTGTATTGTGTATTCCTGTCCATTCTTTAATATTCCTTAACCAGGATAATTGTTTGCGGCCGGCTCCTCTCTACTCCTACCTGCCGACAACTGAAAGAACTAATTCCTTTTAAATGTAGTTACATTGGGTTTTTCGAATAACCTTGGGTACACTTTTGCGTTTCAAGTTCAAAGCTACCATACATTTCCAACGGTAACTTTTTTCATATAGTAACAAAAAAAAACCGCTATGTTGTTACTAGCTAAGTTTTTTTTAACATCATAACTCTACAATTCTAAGTTACGGTAAGATCTTTAGTGTTTTTTAAATAGATAATATATGGTAGCTAATTGTGATTTCTTCTGTTTCAGCCCCGAAGAAGCCAAATTAATTCTTTTTGGCGAAAACGTTTGGCGAAACAATTTATACTCATTAGAGTCTTTCCTGCAGATTTCCCCAATATTTAAGAGTTTACTATTTAACTTATCTGCAAAGATTAAATTTTCATTGGTGTAGTAAACCTCAGAATAATTACTACGGGTTATTGTCTTGAATCGTTGGTGTTTAATTTTAGTTCAAATTGTGTCCTAATCTGCTACTGTTATGTTTCTAATTTAATATTAAAGGTAGAGCATTGCATACTTCGTTGATTGTGTCAACTGACATTACTAGATAGAGTAGTTCGGTATGTTACCAATTTTGAAACTACCACCTAATTTGTTGGAGTCAAACACTACGTTATTTCCTGATTGTTTGTTTAACAATTAGTAATTTAATACGTTGGTAACTTTTGCTTTGCTTTAAATTAAAATAACGTGGCATTACTATGCCAATTCAAGTTTTTTCCATCACTATCAGTATTTTGGGATACTGCTTTTCCTTCATTGAAAATAGTCCACTAGAAAGTATACTGTTTGTTTACAGCGATTCAACCCGGGAGACTGTTTATTAATTCCTGTAATAGTATTAATCTTAGCTCTAGGTTTAATACATAAATAAATACATAATTTATTCAAGCATATATTATATATATTTGGACAAGTTTAGCCTTTGTTTAAATATTTTAGGTGCTCCTGATCTAAACAGCATTTTATACAACACTAGTTTGTTATTTATTAGTTCACACGTTAGTTTTATTGATCCAATACCTCTGCAACAAAATGTAATTCCCATTGGAGGATTTCACGTGACTCCTCCTGAGCCCTTACCAAAGAAAATCAAGCATTTCTTGGATTCCGCTCCCCACGGAGTTATCTTATTTTCGATGGGTTCAAATAAAGGTATCACTTTTAATGCTTGGCAAAAGAAAGACATGTTGAAAGTGTTTGCAAAACTTTCACAAAGGGTGATCTGTAATGTAGATTTAGCTCCATTTGAGATACCAGAAAATGTGCTGGTAGAAGAGTGGGTGCCCCAAAAAGACATCTTAGGTAAGTTTTATAAATAGTAATAAGTACTAAGGTAAGATCTGGGTTCAAGTCATAACATATCATCAATAATCCCTCATTATTTTTGTTACAAATATTAATAACACACGAACGTGTATTATATTTATTTTCGATATATTTCAGCTCAAATAAAACTTAAGATACAAGTTTTTTGTCTTGTCCGTTTTCCGTTGCTACCAAAAGAATTAATCTGCTAAAACAAGTTGTTTCTTTTAGTATTTAAAGAAACATCGATAATATGTTACCGCTAATTCTTCTCTTTCCAATATAAAAATTTTTATTTTTACGACCATTACTGGCCATAAATATGTTTTCCTAATGCATGATACCATGCACTTCTTGTTTTATAACATTTCATTAAACTTTAGGTTAACCTTGTAGATTCAGCAGGTGTGTATCAACATATTTGACCTAGTAATCAGGCAATGGAATAAGTAATGAAGTTTAAATATCTAGGCATTACATTATCTAGCTACGAAAAGCTCGAAACACAAGTGGAAGGAATACAAAAATCAGGATTTACCAAATGATTGTGCAAACTTCGGTTATGTATGGCAAGGAAACTTGTTACATCCGAAAAATACACAGAAATTAAAACGATAGGAAAAAAGATATTACGCAAGATATATGGAGCCTAATAGCCTGAAGTATAATATAAAAAGTAAAAGCACAAAGAGAACGTTGGATGAAAGATGTTTATAAAATGTCCACAAACAGACATGCAAAAATGTATTAACAGGAGGAGCGAGAGGAAAGCGCAGGCGAAGAAGACCGAAAAAGAAGTGGTTAGAGGAAGTTAAAACCGATGTAAGAAAACTAAGAATGCGGGATTGCGATGAAAAGACAAAAAAGTGAGTAGAAAAAATAGTAAGGAAATAGAAGCTATAGGCCTCCAGGTTTGAAGACCCATATAAATTTTGAAATGAGCTCATTGTTGGCATAACGCAAAAGTCCATAAAAACTTATACTATAGTTAAAATTAACTAAAAAGAAAAAACATTAATATCTAAACTAATTATAAACTTATTTATTAAAGTATCATCATTTGAAGATCATCATCATCATCAGTGGCATTACAGCTCTTTATGAGCCAAAGCCTTCTTCAGAACAATCCTCCATTCGCCCCTGTCTCTGGCAACTCTTCTCCATGCTCTAATTCCGATAGACTTCAAATCATTGTCTAGATTGTCTTGGTACCTAAGTCTCGGTTTTCCTCTTCTTCGTTGGTCCGATCGGCCCTCTTTGGTCAAAAACTTTTCTGGCTATGGCATTTTCCTCTCGTCTGATTACATGACCTATCCATCTGAGACGTGCTACCTTAACGAATTTTACAACGTCAGATTCTCCAAATCTTCTATACAACTCAAAATTGTAACACTTGTGCCACAAACCTTGTTCTTTTATGCCTCCATATATTCGTCTTAGTATTTTTCGCTTAAAACGTTTGAGCAATTCTTGGTCATTCTGTGTTAGTGTCCAAGTTTCTGAACCATATGTGAGCACTGATCTTATTAGTGTTTTGTAGTTTTGTAGTGTTATATTTGAAATAGCTTAATTTAAAGATTATTAAACATACGAATTTCTTTTCTTTTTAATTTTAGCTCATCCAAACACAGTGGCTTTCATTTCTCATGGCGGTTTATTGGGAACAACTGAAGCGGTATATTTTGGAGTTCCAATACTGGGAATACCAATGTTCTGGGATCAAGCTAAAAATATTGAAGAGGTAGTTGCAAAAGGTTTTGCTATACGATTAGATTTCGAAGATATTAACGAGCAGACTTTTGAAACATACCTTAAAGAACTTCTTAATGATACTAGGTACGTATTTATATAAATGCACTAGTTTTTTTATAATTAAAATAACATATACATCTAGGAATTAGAGCAGACATGAGACAAAAGTATTGCACACAAAGGAAGAATTATAAATAGAGCTATAAGATATAAAATATGGAGCCCTAAAATTATAAATAGCAAAAATAAATCATGTTCTGAAATAAATAAACAAATAATGCCGGACTGGTATATACCATCGGTGATTTTATATTTTACTGAGCGATCTGCTTACTTCTCTTCGTATTTTATTAAGTTTATTTCTGATAAGGTCTTATCGGTAAACTCTGTATGATCCTCGTATAAACGATATTTCCAGCGCTATCAGCTTTTTATTTCTCTTTGCCATTTGTCAACATTCTGCGCCATATATCGTAAAGGTTTCTGTTATACTAAAATATGTTTGTTGCTATCCTAATATTTTTGGATCCTAATAAGGAGTTTAGTTTTTGGAAAGCCATTAGTCTTTGAATTATCTTGTTATTATCCTTTCTTTACTAACGTCTTCGACTTTATAAATTCCTAGAAATTTATATTTCCAGTATCCCATCTTAAGTTTTTTTTTAGATCCATCTTAAGATCATTTGGTTTTTCCTCAAATAAGAGTTGTTTACGTGTAAGAATAAAACACTAAAAACTTTGTTTTCAAAACTTCCACAAAATTTATTATAAACTAAAAATCACTACAGCTGTTTCGGCTGATTGCCTTTCTCAAGTGAACTATTTTTGGCATGCGTTTACACTTTATAGTCTTTAATGAAATATGTTGAGGAGAGAAGAACTGTTTGTCTCAAGTTGGTCATTAAGAATTATATCTGTGTTTTTTAATTTGTTAATTTCGATAAATTCTAACAGCTTAAGGTCTTTATTTTGATTGTAAAGAATTTTAAATTCGTCATGTGTATGAAGTGCGTATGTAGAATCTGTTTTTCTATTATTAAAAGCTCTTTTATGTTCTGCTATTTGTTTATTAAAACTTCTACCAGTTTGACCGATGTAAGTTTTTTGGGCAGTCGCCACATTTAAGCTTCTATAGACCACTGTGTGAGTGCGTTTTATTTAGCTCTTGTTGTTTTTAATATATTTGCCTAAGTTATTATTTATTGTGAAAGCTGGGTCCTTTCTTTTTTATGTGTTTGGCTATTTTTGTTGATATTTTGCATGTATATGTAATCTAGCAGAAGGTACTGCGTTTTTTCTCTGGTGGTGGAAATACTAATTTCAGGGCTTTCTTGTGTAGTTTTTGATTTAAAATTGTATTAATTGTTTGTTCGTTGTATCCGTTGTTTACTGCTATTTGCTTAATTATATTTAATTCTGTCTCAAAGATGTATTTTAACATCGGAATTTCTGTTAATCTATGTAACATACTATGATAGGCTGCCAGTTTATGTTGTGTTGGATGGGATGATGAATTGTGTATAGTCGTGTCAGTATGGGTAGGTTTATAAAATATGGAGAAGTCATGTTTGTTTTTAAGTCTGATAATTTTTAAATCTAAAAAGTTTATGGATTGATGTTGTTCTGTTTCTATTGTAAATTCAATATGACTATGGAGTGAATTAATAGACGATAAAAATTGGTCGAGTTGCCTGTTAGTTCCTGAGAAAACATACCAGTACGTCGTCTACGTATCTTCACCAATATAAAGACTGTTTGAATATGGGATGTTTTGAAATATTTGTCTCTAGATGATCCATAAAAATATCTGATAGTAATGGGCTTATATGATTGGCCATTATAAGTCCTACACTGTTATTAGTATATATTTGATTATTAAATTCAAAGTAGTCCTTGTTTATGCAAATTTCAAGAAGATGTAAAATTTCAGATGTAATGATTGTATTTGTACTATTTTGGTCTAAAAGGTTTTTTACTAAAATAAAAGTTTCTGTAGAAGGAATACTAGGAAAAAGATTTTTTACGTCAAATGAAATTAATCTGGAGTTGTTACGTAATTGAAAATGTTGTATTTTATTAACTAGTTCTTTTGTATTTTTTATGATAAATTTAGGTGAAAATTTAGTGTGTTCTAAAATAAACAGTTTTTTTTGAAAGTTACTTTCATGATATTGAGGTATTTATGTTGATTGATTTTGAATTTTCTAACGCTAGCTTAAACTGTTTTCGTGGTATAAATTAATATATTTTTTTTTTCTGTAGTTATAGGAGAAGAGCTAAAGAAAGGTCACAAATGCTTCGCGATCAACCAGTAAACCAACGAGACCAAGCTGTATTTTGGGTAGAATATGTAATTAGACACAAGGGAGCGCATCATTTGAAATCAGCTGCGCTTAAGCTTAAGTGGTACCAAAGGTACCTTTTGGATATTATTTTATTTGTCACTGTCACGTTTATATTTATTATATTTGCGTTTTGCTACTGTATAAAATTATTGGTATCTATAAAAAATCAAACAAAGCTAAAGAGTAAAATAAAATAAAATTAATAGATAATATTGCTTGTTTTACGAACAACTTACCCCTTTAAGTTTTACTTCTCCAGGAATATAACAATATGTGTTGACAAAACAAAGACTTTAATAAAAATCGGTAAAATTAATTCCGTTTATAGATTTAACTGTCAAATTTTTCGAGATATGTATATCTGGAAAGTCAGATAATTCTGCAGCATCTATCGATCCGTTGGAGCTACTCCTAGCAGTAGATAATCTGCGTAGATTGATGTTGTTAAGTTTGGCAGCTGTAAAATTGTCTTCCACTTTGATTTCCTCAAACTCTAAATTTCCTAAAATAAGACCAAATCGCATTATAGATTAAAAAAATAGATTTTAAAAATAACTCAAGAATGAGCGAAATAAGAAGCACTATAAAAATGAGAAACTAAATAGATCTTCTTCTGAATCTATTTTTTTTTTTAATGTTAATATTATTTACTATAATAATTTAATTTTATTTGCTCCATTAATATTGGCAATTCTTGACTGATTGAGAGTACCCGTCAGAAAAATCATAGTATTTAATCTGTTTTCTTTAACAAGTTAGGTGCCATCATACTGAAAATTTTAATGTCTTTATTGGCCAATCACATTTTGGTTTTAAAAAAGTTTATATTACTGTACCGTTTTTAAATAAAACGAGCGGTTCGAATTTATATAAATATATTTATTTATAACTTTACAGTTCGGTATTCTCTTATCAACTAAACTTAAATCCTAATTTCGTTACATATATATACCAAAGTATTATGTTCGAGAATATTCGAGAATAGTCCCACCTCTAATTCGTTATTCGACGGGTGGAATTTTACAGCGCTCGAAATATCGCCGAAACTCTCGGTGCTTCGAGATGCGACCGTTAGGTAATCCACGCTAAATGCATGTTCGTAACACTGCTCCCCTCTTAGATCTGAGCGTCCCGATCAGGAACTCTATCTATAGGCCCAGGATGGCGGAATCTACAGGACTCTCCAGCTCTGCATGAACCCCTCAGAAAGAAATAACAGTCTACTGTCTTTGAAGGACACGATCTCTTCGGATTAATGCAACACACAGTAATTCTTACACCGGTTTCTCGGAAGATCACTTCAAGCATGCTTCTGACAATCTTCCAATCCAGATTATCTAGTGCATGGCCTATCTTGGGTAAAGCCAAGTTCTTAATGTCGTAATTGCAGACGATTTTCTTCAAATTAGTCAGAGCACGCCATATATCCTCGTAGCTTGCCCTGTCTGTATACGACTTTCTGGTCACCATATACAACAAAGATCGAGAACCATCTTCTAATCTCAGCACTCTTCCAACTTTAGGCTGCTGGTTTTTTAACTCGTCCAAGCGACCAAATTTCTTATAAAATACGGATGAGATTCCTTTAGTCATCTCAAGATCTTGGGCAACACAGTGGGCTAGAGTGACGTTATGCGGAACACTAAAAAGATCCTGCTGAACTTCTGTCGTCACGCCGAATCTAGCACTCTTTCTCTCTGCGTAATTTGACATAAATTCATTAAAGCTTGGTCGCCGGTCATCTTCGATCTCATGTTGAAGGATTCGTGCTTCTTCTGTTTCATTTGAGCCAGCATAAGGTGCAAGCCGATTTATGTGAACTACTTTTGGTTTACCTTTCGGTAACTTTTTAATTCGGTATATTACGTCATTTATTCTCTTTTTAATTTCATACGGACCCTCCCATTGTCTTTGCAGTTTAGGAGACAAGCCACGACGACGTTGTGGATTATAAAGCCAAACAAGATCACCTACTTTATAGCTTTCATTCTTGCATCGAGAATCATATTGATCTTTCATTCTGTCACTGGCTAACTGGATGTGTTGTCGGGCAAGTTCATGAATGTTGTTCATTCTTAACTTCAGGCGGTCGACATAATCTTCGCTTGCAACATGTTCTTCGGAAGGTCTGGAGCCAAACTCTAGGTCGCAGGGCAAACGAACTTCACGGCCTAACATCAGGCAGGTTGGAGTCTGGCCGGTAGTTTCATTCACGGCCGAGCGGTAGGCCATTAGGAATAAATGAATGTGCTGGTCCCAATCTCTTTGATGTTCTGATACAACTTTTGACAGGTGTTTACCCATCGTTCGGTTCATTCTCTCGACCATTCCATCTGATTGAGGATGCAGGGGTGTCGTTCTGGTCTTATTGACACCAATCAATTTACAAACGTTTTGGAAAAGGTTTGACTCGAAGTTTCGCCCTTGGTCGGAGTGGATCTCCAAGGGAACACCAAATCGGCTAAAGAATTCTTTAACAAGTACCTCTGCAACGGTAGCAGCTTCTTGATTTGGTATCGCATAGGCCTCAGTCCATTTCGTAAAATAATCCATGGCTACCAGGATATATTTATTTCCATCATTCGTCTCTGGAAGTGGACCTGCAATGTCGATTGCTACTCTCTCCATAGGACTACCAACATTGTACTGTTTCATGGGTGCCCTCTTTTTACCAACTGGACCATTACTAGTTGCACACAGTTCACATTTCCGGCACCATCTTCTTACATCATCTTTACAGTTCACCCAATAGAACCGTTCTCGAACCTTTTGCAGAGTCTTCGTAATACCAAAGTGTCCACCTGATGCACCGTCATGCAACTGACGCAATACTTCTGACACTTTACTTTTAGGTACAATCAACTGAAGCTTAGTTTCTGTACCATCATCGTTCTCAAAGGTTCTATACAGAAGATCATCTTTCAGCACTAGGCAATTCCATTGGCTCCAGTAACACTTGACTTCGGGACTACATGCACTAATGTCTTGCCAAGAAGGTCTTTCACTTCGACGCACCCAATCCAATACTCTTTTTATACATGGATCATCTGCTTGGGCGTCTTGTAGCTGTTGAGGCTGCCATTGGTCATTAATAACGGTGGTTCGCCTAACGGGGCAAAATCGTTCTTCTAATTCAAGACAATGATTACGATTTGCACTGTATGGCCGTCTTGATTGAACATCAGCATTTGCATGACTTTTTCCAGCCCAGTGCTCGATCTGTTCTAGCTTTCTGACTGTTGTATTATTTTCTTGCACTTTGTGGCGAATGTGACCTTCGTTGTTACCATTCCAACATCTGGGTTCACGTTTCTTCGGCATCATGTTACGAACTACTTTCCGTACGATTTCCTCTAGACGTTTATCGTTTCGTTCGTCACTTTCTTCAGAGGTTCGTACTTGATAGCTCCGTGAAACTCGACTAGCTGTTTCATGTTCCAAGGCAATAGCGAGCGCTTCATCTAGAACTTTCGGTCTTGCTAGTCGTAAAGCTTTCTGTAATTCACTTTCTTTTAACCCATTGACGAAGGTATCTACGGCAATTTCTTCCAAAATGTTGTCTGGTACCTCCGGATAAGCCAACCGCACTATACGAGCAACATCTGCTTCAAACTCTTGCAAATTCTCACTTGCTCGTTGAGTTCTACTTCTTAGTTGCGCCTTGTAGACTGTTGTAGATGGGCATCTCCGTAACGTTTGTCTAGTCGAGTAAACAAGGTCTGGTAACATTTTTCTTGACCCTTAGGAATCGATCTTAGGATATCTGCAGCATCACCTCGTAAAGCAGCAGTCAAGGAAACAGCCTTTTCTTGTTCTGTCCAATGATTGGCTGTCGCAATAGCTTCAAATTGTCTAAGGTATATGGACCAAGAGGACTTTCCATCAAATGGTGGCAATTTGAATCTCATATGATGTGTCATTTCGTCTCTAGGTGATTCTTCTTTCACTACCGGTTCTAAGGCTACCGTATTAACGGGTGGTAGCACTTTCGTATTAGTTATCATGGTCTCTAATTGTTTGATCTTCTCTTCTACGTTGTTTACATTTTTCTGCATCTGATCAAATGTTCTTGAGACTTCTTCAAATTTCTCATTGTTTTGATTACATATTTCTTTAATTATTTGAGAAGTCTCGTCGAATCTTCTAGCAACATTTTCAAATTTCTCGTCATTTTGTCTAGCTGCTTCTTTAATAATTTGAGATGTTTCATCGAATCTTTTGGAAACATTCTCATCATTTTTTCTAGAACTTTCTTCGATCTTCATTAAAACTGCTTCTTCTGCTGATTGAAAATGGAATGTCTCTGGGTCATCTCCATTCTTTTTGAGAACAGTTTTCAGTCGTTCTTGTAGTATCTTCTTGGACCCGCTGCAGTCTTCATCGCGTTCTTCTAGTTGCTCACGCAACTGTTTCACTGAAAGTTCTACTAGCAGCATCTTTGGTCAGGCACACACGTACTTTTTAAATGTTCTTTCGTACAACGATCACTACCGAACTACGCGGATGTTCCCGACGAACAATACTTTTCAAAAGTTCAAAAGTCTCTTTTTTCAAAAATCACTGTTGATATATATTCAAATCTCACACCGACACCAACTGTACCGTTTTTAAATAAAACGAGCGGTTCGAATTTATATAAATATATTTATTTATAACTTTACAGTTCGGTATTCTCTTATCAACTAAACTTAAATCCTAATTTCGTTACATATATATACCAAAGTATTATGTTCGAGAATATTCGAGAATAGTCCCACCTCTAATTCGTTATTCGACGGGTGGAATTTTACAGCGCTCGAAATATCGCCGAAACTCTCGGTGCTTCGAGATGCGACCGTTAGGTAATCCACGCTAAATGCATGTTCGTAACATTACTCTCTCTAAACTTTCAAATCGATTCACTGGCAGCGATCACCGCCTTTTAAGAGCAAGGATTCATATTAAACAGACGAAAACCAGTAGAAACAGGACACATAATTATTGTAATTAGATAGATAAAACTAAAATACGACATAAGAGAGATGGGTACAGGGAAGTCTTAAGAAAAGAATTTGTAGAACATTTTCAACAAGAATATTCCGTCATGAACACAATTAATAAAGAAATTCAACGAAAGCTCTTGAAATCAGGACTGACTGTTGCAAAGAAAACGAAAAATAAAGAAGACCGAATAAGTGAAGAAACAAAACGGTTGATG